GCTGGAGGTGCCGCAGCAGTGCCAGCACAGGGACGGGCACTGCCCTGGGGCTGGGACACAAATTCCTGATTTAGAAGTGGAAGCTGCTTTCCCAACCCAGCTGCACAGCAAGGGAACACTCCTGGATGCAGGAATGCCCAAGAAGCTGCTGTTTCTTGTGTGCACACCTGGAATATGCAAACCAGGCTGGGTTTACATAAACCCTTCACAAAAATCAAATTGAGCACAATACCTTCCTACAAAAAATCCAGAAGTGATGCCAAAGGCATGGAGACAGCAAATCACCTGCAGGTTGCCTTTAATCAGCAGAACTGATCTGACTCAGCTCAGCCACCGAGGCAGGGAAAGGAGGGTAAGGTGGGATTGGCCTCTCGGTGGCAGCCTGATTTCAGATCCATGGGAGCTGAGCCTGGAGCTGCATCCTCATTTTCATGAGGCTGCCCCTGCATTTGTGTGTCTGCAGTGATCAGCTTATGCTCAGGTGCAGCTGTTGGAAGACAGAGACAGCAGCACAGCAGGTTAATAATCCTTCCTCCTACAATTACATTTAAATTTTACCCCATTAAAAGCACAAGCAGGAAGGTCTAAACTAAAACCAGCAGCTAAAAAACCCCATAAACCCTTAAATCTTCATATTTTAATTCAAATATAAACTACTCACCTTTCTGCCTGTTTCAAAAAAACGAACAAATTTTAAGTGAAAGTTTAAAAATCCCAGTTTAGGAAGCAGTGAGTTAATCAGAGGAGTCAAGGCCAGGCAGTGGATGGATACTGTTTATTGGTTCTTTCCATCACATCTGAGTTACAGGTGTAAAAGTCACACAAACTGCAAGGTATAAACATGTAAAACAATACAAAAATAAATGGCAAGGTCAAATTTTATCTTTTACTGACTCGAAGTTGTATAATAAATACTAGAGGCAAAAAGCTTCAATCACACCATTCAGCTGAACTGAAGTTACAGTAGTGTTGGTAAAGAACACGTGGGGTTTTTTTTTTTTTCTTTTTAACTTAAAATTGCAAATATTAAAGCATTGAGAACTAGTATAAAAGTGAATTTTGGCACGTTGTCAAGTGAGAAGTGTTACATCTGAGTGCTGTGGAAAACCAAGAAAAAGAGCTTTCTGAGGTACATCTGGAACAATCTACGATTAGATCGACCACGTGGTTCTACCAACTCACAGTTTACACAATTCACTATACTAGCCACAATTTTTTTTTTTTTCTTTTCCCTTTTTCAGAAATACCAAAGTATTCCAGAGCTTAAATTTTCTGTGCAAAATTCAGACAAGTTTTCCGTTAAAAAATAACGACCATTAAAAAAAAAAGAAACCAAGCGAAACAAAAAGAAAACAACTTACGAGGGGAACTTAACGCGCAACTCGACTCCCCCCTGCAACCGGTTGTGTTAATGCAAAGTGTAAAGGAAAAAAGTGGATTAAACACCAAATTGCACGGATTAATATCGAATACTCCCGGGTTGCAGAGCAGCTCAAGCTGCAAAGGTTCCTCTCCTAAGCTTCTCACATTTTTATTTATATTTTTTTTTATTTTTTTTTTTCTCTCCCTATAACTTCAGTAACTTCTGATCACACTCATTCCTGGTGAGGAGAAAGAGATAAAAAAAAAAAAACACCACCACAAGCTGGTCACGTGGAGATCAGCGAAGCGTGGAAACCCCTTGAGGACTCTCAGCACTTTTTTTTTTTTTTCCCCCAGGATCACAAAAACAAAAAAATGCCTGGACACAAATTTTCCCGACACATTAAAAGAGGAAGGAAGTGTAATGGCACTTTTGCTGTATCCAAACATTGGTGGGTTCAAATGGTGCTTTTTTTTTTGTTGTTGTTGTTTTAAGTTGTACAGTAGCTAAAAATATTCAAAAATCAGATCCTTGGGAGTCGCTCCATCCTCACCTCCACTTCCAGAGAGGGAGGAATCAGGTTCCCCCTTGGATGGGGGTCGATACAGTACAAACAGCTCTGACCAGACTACAAAAGTTACACTTTTCTATAAAAAAAAACAAAAACAAAAGCTCTGCTGATTGTTCAGAAATAACTCCCCGACAATCAGCAGCC